CAGCACTAATGGCCCTGACCTCTTGCGAGGTGCAGGCAAAGAGTGTTTGGTACTGCTTGAAGGCCTTGGCAGAAGTCAGTGACTCATAATGACCTGACAGGCATGGGTCCCTGGGCATAGAGGCAATTAGAAGGTTGACATAGCAAAAGAGGGGGCCAACATGGACTCTCTGGGTCCTGAACCCTACTGTGGCAACCTGCCAAAAAGAGTATACATGTAAAAATGGATCCTTAACGAGACCAAAACCTGGTGGAAGAATACCACAGGAGGCACGTGAAGACATTCGTGGAAGGACCATCCTCAAAACTTACAAAAGTGGAAGGCAACCTCAACCACACCAGGATTCTGGTCGGACTTCTGGCAGAACGCGCCACTTAAGAAAGCACATACACCTGATAGGAGTACAGATACTGCCAGGAAGAGGAGGAGACCGCAGAACACATTTTATGTTTCTGTGAAGGTCTATGTACGTGCAGGTTCTTGCAACTAGGACAGGAAAAACCGCAAGCAAGATCCTACACTAAAGCTAGCACCACACTAGATGGAAGATACTGGTTAGGGATTTTAAAAACGCTCGTCAAATATATAGTCATACGATAGTATTGCAAGTCACATTATCAACTGAATATCCAAATAGTTGTGTCATTCCTTTCATTTCTGCTGTGTATGTGGCTTGTTCAGGTTGGGCGGATTTTCCATCACGGAAACATTCCATCTAGTGTGGCGCCAGCCTATGGAGCCGCTGGCAAGGCTATGGAGGTTAACAACCTGGCCAGTGTGTTATTAAAAAACGGGAGCACAATTGATCACTCAGCTCGAGGTGCATAAGGCCTTGTGGCCGCCTCTTTTATCCCCAGTTGACATCTCTGTGTATTGTACAACTACAGTTTGGCCGATTTTGGGATAGGTCTGACCATCTCCACCGCTGATCAAGTGAGGTCTCACATTTTTCAGAGAAAAGAATGGATTTTGTCAAGAAGCGATATAGGATTTTGGTTCGTTACTATCAATCGGTTCAAGACCAAAACCAAGCAAAATGGATTGTCTCTGATTAATGGACCAGTCAAACTTTGCCAGGGCATGGCAACTTTGCTTATAACAATCAAATGTTTAAGGAGTGCGGAGTTGGACAGGATCTCGAGTTCAAGATCTGCAAGAAGTTTAAGAGAGAGCGAGATGTACTCAAAGTCCTAGTCCAAATTAAGCAACTCTAAAAACTCTTCCAGGTTTAAAAGGGAAAACTAGGGAGATACTTTTAATTAGAATAAATATTGTTAAATATTAATCCATTATGTTTAGTTAATTAATTATCATTAGTCAATGATGTAGTATAAGTGTCGAGCAGGATTTGAACCCACAACCTTCAGCTCAATACGCCACTGCTCTAACCATTTGAGCTATCATGACTTCGATCGACTTGGACACCAATTCCTCATCTAAAATGGTTAGAGCAGTGTATTGAGTCAAAGGTCATGGGTTCGAATCCCGCATGTGACACTTTTTCATCTCGACCAAGACCTTACATAAAAAGAATAATTTTTAAAGATTACAGGCAAGACCAAACGAAGGTCTTTAAGCCTAGTACGCACTGGGATTCTTTGTTCGGACTCCGTCGCAGACTCATTGCCCCACAACATTGTCGCTCTGTAAATCGTGTCCGCACTGACTCAATGTTGCACAACATTGAGCAAAGAATCCCATTTAAGATGAGGTTCAAAAAATACTAAAACAACACACCAGATACAAGATTCATTGTCACAGTGCGTTTTGGATGCAAAAAAATGAATCCCAGACGCAACTCCGGGACAAAGAGTCCGAACAAAGAATCCCAGTGTGTACTAGGCTTTAGGAATTAAGCATGTCTCTGACACGGCAGAATGGAGTATGAGGGAAAAAAGGTCACAAGGCGATAGGTGAAAAAAAAGTTGGACCGTCTAATCATTACTACATCGTTACTGTTATAATAAAAAGTTTTATATAAATTATACACAATCTTGGATGTTAGAAGTGAAATGTAGAATGTGGTGGTTTGATCTCATACCCTCTGCTAAGCAAAATTCATTATGATTGAAGCGATATAATTTAATGTTTATATTTGTTAACTCTGGAAAGCATTATAAATAAAAATATAATTCATACGATAAGGATAAACTCACCACACTACTCAGGAGCACCGCCCAAGGAAAGGTATGTAAATTATTACTCATTTTTTAGATAATTGTTATATAATACAAATCTACTGTTCATAATATAATGTATAAATACCATATCTGTAAAATTGTAAATTTTGTCAATTGGCAAAAAAATAAATAAAAGATAAAACACTGACATTTAAGAAACATATCGGCTCCGATCATCATGGAGGCGACAAAAGATGGTGTGCAGAAGAATAATGGGGAAAACTGGGGATGTACACCATAATGGTAAGACCTATTCTTACATAATATGGACCCACAGCCTGCGCTGATAAAGCAGAACAAGTAATAAAAAGAAAAGAACTCCCAAAAATACTGACTTGAGTGCGTCTGTATAATGAGAACGGATTCCACAGTGGAAAAAATACTACACTACATGATAATGAGGACAGCACAGAAAACTATTATTAAAGAGAAACCTCCATACCATCTTAACCACCTATATCATCTTCGAATACGAAGCAACAGCTCAATAGAGATTTAACCTAACATACAGAAAAAAAAATCAAGGAAATGAAATTTTAGCAGTGACAGTCAATGACCTGATCTTTCTATGAAGGATTGAGTATATTGCACTAAACTAGGAAGGTACAATAAGCCAGAATGCTGCAGAGCGTGGGGAGCACAAACATGTATCATTACCATACATACAGCCTAACTGAATACAGGGTGCTTCAGGTTATTAAACAACCCTGGAAGAAATCAACAATGGTAAGGAATATGTTTCATGCACTATGCACACAGGATGCCAATCTTGACAGCGCCAAAAGGAAGAAATGGTTAAAGGTGGGTTGAGTATGTTGTTCAATTACTTTTAAAGATAGTTCTTACTGAGTAGTGAGTAAGAACTATTTTTTTTGAAAGTGGAAATCTACAAATTACTGACGAAATATTCAAGTAAAACCCACAGAGGTACGGGTGTGTCGCAAGGCAACACCCATGAGTGGTGCTGCAATTCTGCCTTCAAAGGGATGACATGGTGTACAGGGTATCACAGGACATTTGACATATTCTTTATTATCCCATTGAAGTCTTAACTTGTAAGTTAGGTAATTTCCTCTGTATACCTTCAAGCTGATTAATCTTAGATTGAATGTCCCTGGGAAACCAAACCAACCAGTATGCTCAGAACCAGCCCAAAATATAAATGTTTTATTACAATATATTCCGGAAACCTGATGGATTCTTCTTGAGGAACCCCAAGCTTCTATTAAATTCTATTAAAAATAATGCAATGAAGGTCTAGGCTCACACTGGTGAAGTAGGTAATGAAAGAGCTGATTTATTGCCAAAACAAGCATCGGAAGATGAGAATTTGCAGGTGTCCTTTGAATTTGTTCTGACAATTTATGTAGAACACATAAGAAAACAGAGGGAACTACAAAAATGGAAAAAATTTGGCAGATAATAGGGAAAAGCATGCTCGCTAAAGAATTTTTTCTGATGTCACAACATTGCCAAGGACTGTAACAATATTGTAACAATTTGAGAACGCCTATACCTTGAATTGCTTTTGGGTAAGACAAGCCCCATGGTGCATTGTCTATGAGTATACAGGGTGTCGTTAATCCTACACCTGAAAATTTTAAGAGTGTACCAACTATACTACACCTAATCTTAAAATGTTTTCAGTGTGGGTGCGAGTATACAAAGCGCTGTGTATGGAGCCAATCCGAGTATAATGAAAATCAATCACAAATTCTGGACGAAATTATCAAGGAAACCTCATATGGGTCTAGTTGAGTCGCATGGCAACGATGACACGGTGTACATGGTATCGCATAAGTTTTTTATCACAGACTTTTTTTTATAATTTCTGGTTGGTGATCGTTAATAAAAGGCGAAGAATGGACAAAATGGAAGGACGGCTATGGTACACCTGGGAATGAGTCAATTTTTAAGGGTTAAACTTCACCAAACAAGCCACACAGTGCTTTGTCTATGAGTGCTTCAGGTTATTGAACATGGAAGAAATCAATGATGGCAAGGAATATGTTCATGCACTTTGTAAACAGGATGCTGCAAATGATTTTGCATTTTCAACTCTTACATCTTCGAAAGGAAGAAATTATTAAAAGTGGGTTAAGTATGTTGTTCAATCACTTTAAAAGATAGTTCTTGCTGAGTAGTGAGGCTAGCATAGTACAAGGTGGAAATATAAAAATTATTGGCGAAATATTCGAGGAAAACCCGCAGGGGGTCTGGGTGTGTCGCAAGGCACTTTTTATTCTTAAACGAGCAATATGCGGTTAAAAAACTTATAATTAACAAGGAAAACGAACCAGTAAAGACTAGTAATTTATTTTTATAATTCTCCATGGCACAAAATCGCATTTTCAAAATTGAGCGGCATTAAATCCAGCGTCTCATTGGAGCGTCGCGTTGGCGGTGGATCGGCGGGGTTCATTTGTTCGAAACTTCGAGACGCGCTTGTCACAACTTCAACCTGATGATGAGCTTTTAAACTTTAAATCCGGAAAATTGTAAAGAAGAAATTTGTGAGTTGAACATTTTTTACAAAAAGAAAAAGAAAAATGAATCTATATACTCACCCAACCTTCATTTTTATCCTAGCCACCTGTCTTTTTCTTGCAATCACTTCAGATCACGCCCTGAGAATCTGATTGTTGAATACAGTTTATTTTTTCTTTAAATAATTTTCATTCGTAATTTAGTAGGATTATTAAAAAATCAGATAAGGATTATTTCAAGTATTAATCGTTCTAGTTTTATAAAAGAAGGTTTGTATTCGAAAAACGCCGTTGCGATGAGACGCAGCGCTCCCTGGCGGGCCCAAACGCCCGTCCGTCCGCCGAGGAGACGCCAGTCTGTGTACGCCCGTCGCTGATAACGCCGGCGCTCGGATTTTCTAAAAAACGTTCGAAGTTTTACTGGAGAGACCGCCGACGAGCTGGCGGCCGGCCGCCCCTTTTTTCCTAGAGGAGACGACGGCAGGGAGCAACACCGGGCAAGTGACAGGTGAGCGAGGATGGACGTATCCAACCTGTTGATTGTAAACACAACCCGGTTTTTTGGCATCTTTGCTATTCCAAAATAATATTTTACAGTCATTCAGCATTTTAACGCAATATTTATTCTCCAATCTGCCTCTATAAACATGCTTATAAGTGTCCCTTTCAGGATCTACACATTTAACAGAATTTGGCTCCCGCAGTGTATACGAATGAGATGTTCACTCATTCAAATTGGATAAATAAATATTAATAAAATTCTGAAATCTTCAGTTCTTTCAAATTCTGTGTGAACATATTAATACTTTTAGCTTGTCTAGCTTCTTTCTGTCTCAGTGTTTTTTGTGACATTGGATTTTTGTTTCGTTCGATTTCAAGTTCGCTGATCAGTTCTATTGATAGTTCGTTCATAAGTTTTCTTTTAACCGTTCAGTAATCAGTTTAATCAATAGTTCATTTTCATCAGTTCTTCGAACTGTTCGTTGATTAGTTCCTTCGATCGTTAGTTTATAGGTTCTTTTAACTGTTCAGTGATCAGTTCCATCAATAGTTCATTACATCCGTTCATTTAGCTGTTCGTTGATTAATTCTGTAGATCAACTTCATCGCTTCTTTTTATCGTTCATTGATTATATATTTCGTTTGATCGTCGGCTCTTTTAACCCTTTATTGGTCAGTTCTTTCGACGTTCATCATCGTTGCTTTGAACCGTTCACGGATCCGTTCTATCGATCGTTCGTTAATCGGTTCTTTTAACTGTTCCGTAATCAGTTTAATCAATAGTTCATTTCGTCCATTTTCCAACTGTTCGTTGGTTAGTTCTATCAATCGTTCGTTCATTGGTTCTGTTAATTGCTCATTGACTAGTTCTATAGTTCAACAGTGCGTCGTTCCTCGAAATCGTTCATTGATCAGTTCTACCCTCTGATTCATTACATCGATTCTTTAGACCGATCAATGATTAATTATTTTCGCTCCCTTGGACCGTTCTATCGATAGTTCGTTCATAGGTTCATTCTACTGTTCATCGATTCGTTCAATCTATTATAAGTTCATACTTTTCTTTTTTTTTTTGCATTAGCCGCTTTACCGCCATAGCCATGTTAACCATTGGTTCTTTGAAGTGTTCAGCAATCAGTTTAATCAATAGTTCATTTTCATCCGTTCTTCGAACTGTTCGTTGATTAGTTTCGTCGATCGTTAGTTTATAGGTTCTTTTAACTGTTTAGTGATCAGTTCCTAATCAGTTCTATCAATAGTTCATTTCATCCGTTCTTTTAGCTGTTCGTTGATTAGTTCTGTAGATCAACTTCATCGCTTCTTTTTAACCATTAATTGAATAATTATTTTGTTTTTGTACATTGCTTCTTTTTATTGTTCATTGGTTATATATTTCGTTTGATCGTCGGCTCTTTTAACCCTTTATTGATCAGTTCTTTTGACGTTCATCATCGTTGCTTTGAACCGTTCACGGATCCGTTCTATCGATCGTTCGTTAATCGGTTCTTTTAACTGTTCCGTGATCAGTTTAATCAATAGTTCATTTCATTCGTTCTTCCAACTGTTCTTTGGTTAGTTCTGTCGGTACACAGGTCGTTCATAGGTTCATTCAACCGTTCGTTGATCAGTTCTATCGATCATTGGTTCATAGTTTCTTTTAACTGTTCAGTAATTAGTTTAATCAATAGTTCATTTCGTCCGTTCTTCCAACTGTTCGTTGGTTAGTTCTATCAATCCTTCGTTCAATGGTTCTGTTAATTACTCATTGACTAGTTCTATAGTTCAACAGTGCGTCGTTCCTCGGAATCGTTCATTGATCAGTTCTACTCTCTGATTCATTACATCGGTTCTTTAGACCGATCAATGATTAATTATTTCGTTGGAACGTTCGTCGCTCCCTTGGATCGTTCTATCGATAGTTCGTTCGTAGGTTCATTCGACTGTTCATCGATTCGTTCAATCTATTATTAGTTCATACGTTTTTTTTGCATTAGCCGCTTTACCGCCATAGCCATGTTAACCATTGGTTCTTTTAAGTGTTCAGCAATCAGTTTAATCAATAGTTCATTTCATCCGTTCTTCCAACTGTTCATTGGTTAGTTCTATAGATACATAGGTTGTTCATAGGTTCACTCGACCGGTCATTGATTAGTTCTATCGATCGTTCGTTCGTTGGTTCTGTTAATTGCTCATTGACTAGTTCTATAGTTCAACAGTGCGTCGTTCCTCGGAACCATTCATAGATCAATTCTATCCACTGATTTGACACTTTTAACTGTTCATTGATCAGTTCTATCGATCGTTCTCTTGAGTTCTTGTACCCGTTCATTGATCAGCTTTATCTATAAATCTTGCGACTGTTCATTGATCAGTTATGTCGTAGTTATTTGGTTCTTTTAACTGTTCATCGATCAATGCTATCGATCGTTCGTTAATCGGGTTGTTAATTGATCAATTCGATTGATGGTTCGTTCATAGGTACATTCAACTGTTCAGTGATCGGTTCCATCAACAGTTCATTTCATCCGTACTTCCAGCTGTTCATTGATTAGTTCTGTCGATTGTCGGTTTCATCGCTTCTTTTAACTGTTCATTGAATAATTATTTCGTTCAATGTTTCTTCTTCCTGTTTTCGCATTTTTACAAGGTTTACCAAGTTTTTTACCCCCCCCCCATTTTCTCTCATTCCACCAATTGCATTGAATTTCGAGCAGTTGAGACCCCGAGTGCTAGATAATTGGACGCGTCGCGTCGTCCTAGCTCGCAGGCCGGAAAAAATTAGGTCAAACGAAACTGCCTAAACGGTGGGCCAATTACGTTCGTTAGCATTCATTTAACAAAGCAGTCGAAGTAATAATAAAAAATAACGTTAATAATGAAAAGTTTTTCATTGAATTTTTTTTTTGCACAAATCCTATCTCACGTCCAATTAATTCTAATTCCAGTACGGTAGAGACTGAATCGATGTTCAATTTAATCGATTCTCGACTGATTTTTACCCTAGAATATACATATATTTTCAACTTAATCGATTTTTAATTGAAAATGTCCCTAAAAGCGATATATCGTCATCCAATTACATCGATTCCCAAGTTTAAGAAAATAGATTTTCCTTGATTCACAGTGCATTGATCTTTCTACTTTTTCCTTCAATTTATTTAAATTTTGAAAATATTAATTAATGCACGAGGGAAAAGAGAGACTCGAGGCTTTTTATCTTATCTTTTTTTTTTTGTAATTTATCATTTTGCAAACTCAGAGTGCCGATGAGGCAATGGAGTTGTCGTCATGGGAAATATAGAGGTCGTTCTATAAAGTCGCCAATTCCTGGCCTCGGAAAAGGCTTCGTCCAGGATAATCTCAGATTCCTGGCCTCAAGAGACCAATCCGGATCATTCTGATGGCCCAGACCTGCGGGTTTCGCCCAATGTCCACCAGTGAGGATGGGTGCTTGGTTACTAGGCGGGCTATAGGTAGTGCTCACCATGATCGGATAGTTGTCAGTAGGGAAGTTTTACAAACATCGGATGATTGGCCGATAATATAATCATCAATGGAAAAAAAAATCATCCCTAATTGTTTTCTTGACCCCTTCAGAGTGCCGGTCACACCCCCGTGTCTGGAGCCACGTTTGGATGACAGTACACGGGTCATTCTTGTGTCACTGCTGTCCCATGTCAATTATTTATATTTGCATTCCCGTTCGTCTCATCGGCAAGGTTCCGCCAGTGCAGATCCATGAAAATATACATAACTAAATATGTCAACATTTCTCAATTTGCCGCTCGGCTTGGGATAACATTTGCACCGAAAATTTACGCAAAACGCACGTCCAATCACAGTGACACACTCGCTAATCTGATTTACGATGACAAACAAGGGACAGGATATTATTATCGCACGAATTAACAAATAAAAGATACCATCGTAGAACGATTGAAAGAACCGATCACTGATCGAATGTATAAATGAACAAAAAAACGATAAAACTAGTTTAAAAGGAAAAAGAACCTAACAACCAACAAAAACAGCAAAATCCATTGAGTGAATGAACTATTAAAATAATTGATGAAAAAACTAGCGATAGAACTAGTTCAAAAGAAAAAAAAGAACCTAGCAACCAACAAAAACTGCAAAAATCCTTGAGTGAACTACTAAAATAATTGATGAAAAAAATTAGCGATAGAACTGGTTCAAAAAAAGAACCTAGCAACCAACAAAAACAGCAAAAATCATTGAGTGAACTACTAAAATAATTGATGAAAAAACTGGCGATATAACTGGTTAAAAAAAAAAGAACCTTGCAACAAACAAAAACAGCAAAAACCATTGACTGAACTACTAAAATAATTGATGAAAAAATTGGCGATAGAACTGGTTCAAAAGAAAAAAAACCTAGCAATCAACGAAAACAGCAAAAACCAATTGAGTTAACTAGTAAAATATTTGATGAAAAAATGAGAGATAGAACTGGTTCAAGAGAAAAAAGAACCTAGCAACCACGAAAACAGCACAAAAAACCATTGAGTGAACTAGTAAAATAATAATTGAAGAAAAAACGAGCGATAGAACTGGCTTATTCAGTTCATAGGTTCATTCAACCGTTCATTGATTGAATAGTTCTAACCACTGATTTATTATTACATCGGTCTTTAGACCGATCAATGATTAATTTTTTCCTTGGAACGTTCGTCGCTCCTTTGCACCGTTCTATCGATCGTTCGTTCATTGGTTCTATTAATTGCTCATTGATTATATATTTTGTTTGATCCTTGGTTCGTCGGCTCTTTTTTACTGACTCAGTTCTTTCGACGTTCATTCATCGTCGGTTTGAACCGTTCATGGATTCGTTCTATCTGTCGTTAGTTCATCTGTTTTAACAGTTCATTTATAAATGCTAACGATCATTAGTTAATCGGTTCATTCAACCGTTTACTGATACATTAGATTGATAGTTCGTTCAAAGGTAATCAGTTTAAACAATAGTTCATTTCATCCGTTCTTCCAACTGTTCATTCGTAGTTCTATCGATTCATTGGTTCACTCGACCGGTCATTGATTAGTTCTATCGATCGTTCGTTCATTGGTTCTGTTAACTGCTGATTGACTAGTTCTATAGTTCAACCGTGCGTCGATCCTCGGAACCGTTCACTGATCAGTTCTATCTGCTGATTCATTACATCGGTTCTTTAGAGCGATCAATGTTTAATTCGTTCGTCGCTTTTTTGCACCTTTTTGTCGATAGTTCGCTCATAGGTCCATTGGACAGTTCATTAACTATGAAGTTCATTCGACTGTTCATTGATTCGATCTATCGATCGTTCGTTCATTGGTTCTATTAATCATTTTTTGTAATTTATCATTTTGCAAACTCGAGTGTCGATGAGGCAATGGAGTCCATGGGAAATGTATTTCTGACTCATGCTGCTGTTTAATAAACACCAATCCGGATAATTTTGGCGCCTCAAAGAACCATTGAGTGAACCAGTAAAATAATTGATGAAAAAATGAACGATAGAACTGGTTCAAAAGAAAATAGATGCTAGCAACCAACAAAACAGCAAAAATCCATTCAATGAACTAGTAAAATAATGGAAGAAAAAACGAGCGTTTTTGATCCCAGACATAAAATACTCGTATTTTTCATCTCTACTGTCAACTGGGTACCATCCACTCCTCATCATAGTTCCTACTCCTGGTCGGCCTTATGACCTGCCTTGTACGGATGCCTAGACTCGTCTGCACTGTCACTGATGACAGTGTTATTAGTACATCATCGCTAACAATATATACTCTAAAAACAAGATTGGTCTAAGAACTAACTGTGAGGAGGTCGTGCATTTACATACTTAAGAGTTTATTGGGTGTTTATTTTATTCCTTTGTGCGTGATTATATATGTAGGATTCATTCAATTCTTGGTCCACAAAATGCACTACATATCAATTTGTTAATTATAAGGTTAAATTTTTTTTTCAGATGTCGATCGATGAGACGAGTCGGAACGGCGGCGGAAGCACGGCGAAACGCCGCGGACCCCTCCGCAGATTTCTCTCACTGGGGACGAAACGAGAAACGGCTTTCCTACCGTCGCCTTCTCATACCAAGGCTTCGATCCCCGACACGTCTCTCGTCCTGGAGGAACGCCGCGAGCAGATGAAGGACCCGGACTGGAAGAGGTCCGCAAGGTTTCGCTTCCCGCCGCTCAGCCCGAAACGTGTCTCTTTCCTTCCGAGCCCGTCCGATACAGACAGCGAGTACGAGGTCATCGGCCGGTTCAGAAGTGAGTCAATTAGATATCCTCATAAGATCTGATAGCGAAGTAGTCATTAAAGCATTAGCATGTAAAAATTAGTCATTGAAATAATCCAAAATCTCCAAAACCTGGGGAAACACAACAACCTGACGTTATCTTGGGTGCCAATTCTTCAGTATCCACAGATTTTCAAAGTTGAGTTTTTGAGCATTTTAGTTTTGACTCTTTTCGAAACCTGCAGTTTTTTGGACCTGGATAAGTGGAACCTGGGTCAGTTAGAACCTGGATAAGCGACAGAAGTGTTGAGGTCCCGTCACTCTTGGGGCTCAAATCCTTAGTCATTGACAAATCCTGATCTCCTTAAGTGAAATCCACATTAAAGTGACCGTCACATCATCACAAACGACACACATGAAACGGGCAAATCGAAAGATTTTGCTGTTTCTTGACAAATGCACCGCTCATACAAATGCCTGAGCTGAGAATGTAATCATCGTAATCATCAACCTTCAATCACTGGGTGAAAAATTGGTAAGTGCAAAACCTCCATAAGTGACATCTGAGGGCATACTTTTTGCAGATAATTATTGCGTGTTCAAGATCATCTTTCATAAGCATCTTTCGCAATTGCTATTCTCGCACTTTCCAATGTAGGTACGCGGCACAGATCCCATGGTTCGCCCTGCGTCTAATAATTATTGTACAGTACTTCTTTGTTATTCCGGAATTATAAAACTCAGGATACCGATTGATGTTGGGGTTTGTGGATGTAAAAAATGCTCCTGTGTTCAGGTTTTCGTTTTCTTTATTCCATTTTTGTTTCACAATCTTCTTGATTTCTGGCTTTTCTTGGAGGGAGTACGAATAGCTAGAAGCTTAGCTACCCCATCAACCATCGTGTTACCCCCAATACCAGAGCGGCCTCGCACCCAAAAGAATACGGTTTTCACCCCTTTGTTCTTTTTCAGATCGAGAACTCTTTTTGCCCAAAAGATCAGATAGCTGCTAACGGTTTTAAGATTTATGTTTTTTAAGCCATCCAACGCACTTTTCGAGTCTGACATTATTCGGAAATACAGGGATGTGATCAAGAAGCGGCTCCATCATGAAAGCAGACTAGTAAAGATGGAAAAATGGATGTACAAATGGGAGAATCGACGGTCCCACAGAGGAAAGGGCAGAACCACTTTTGAGTACTTCCCAGTGCGAATGTCATCCTTATGGATTAAGCCCAACTTTTGGCTTCCCAGTTCCTGAGTGGCCATGGAAACTTCAGGTCATATTTGCACAGATTCCGCCTGTCTCTGCAACCTGCGGAAGGTGCGACGCGAACCAGGATATGGAACATGTCCTGCCCTATTCCACTGTGCACAGTCTTCTAAATATGCGTCTACCAGAGATTTTATGTTTTCCTAGATTTTTTTTTAACACATCGATATTTAAAAAATGTTATTTTTTTATAGGTATCACTGTTCAAGGATTAATTTCTTAGGACAAAATTGGAAGCAAATCGTTAATACGTAAAATTAGTGGATCTCTAATTTGTGAAGAGTTTAGTTTTGACTGTCTTTTGGAAACCTGCATTTTTTTTTGCACCAGCCTAACAAATTGATCGTTGTTTTCTTGAATTAAGTCCTTTTTAAGGTAGCAAGATTTTTTCGAATTGTTTTTGTGATTTCTTTAATAAGACGTTGGGGTAGTTTTTCGAAGTTGGGTGGGAAATCCGGGGAGGAGCGGGCTGTATCCCGGCGCCGCCGCCGTCCAGCCTTCGGGAGCCGCCCCCGGGAGCCCAGTACAACCGAGGCTTTCCGGCGGAACGCTCGTCGGCCGGAATCGAGAGAAGGAAGAGAGAGAGAGAGAGCGAGAGAGAGAAAGAGGAAAAAAGTCGGAAACGGGACGGCAGATTTCGCGCTCGTGGTCGTCCAGGGCCGGGCGCGGACACCCGTCGCTCTGCGACTAAAATGCTCATCAGATGGAAGAACAAGGACAAACAGCAGGGCTCAGGGAAGGCGCAGACGGCCACCAAGAAAAAGAGGAAATTCGGCGGGAGGGAAGGTTAGTACAGCCTCAGCCTCCGCCTCCGCCGATGATGGCGGGGGTGCGGCATCGATCCGCTCATCATCCTCCCTCTCGGCCTCGGAAAAATCTTCACATCCATTCGCTTTTCCCACACCCTCCTAGAACCTACCTACTTGGGTCAACTCAATCTCGCTTCGCGTTCAACGCCGTCACATCATTTACTATTTAAAACTTTAAAAATACAAATTTTTCAAACCCCACTCATCTCTTGACACATATCGGTCCGCAGACAACGCACATTGCACGTGTTTATGCAATTTTTAATTCGGTCAAACATGCCTCCTTATCCTTCAGACCACACAACACAACACTAAGTAAAAAAAATCGTTTTTCGTCTGTACAGAAGTTATGACAGAAAACAGAAGCTCAAAAGATAATAATGATACCCAAAAGCCCATAAATTAAAAGCAGGAGCTGAAAAATTCTTCCGATTAAATCGTTACTTCTATTTTAAAACATCTCGTATTCACATAATTCTTTATAATCGTTAATTCGTCATTTTTATCTTTCGCTAATCACTTTGTTATTTACGACGTGATGAATTATACCATCGTTCGTTCATGGATTCTTTAGTTAATTGATCAGTTCTGTCGTTCTTTCGTTCGTTTGGATCTTTTTTGTATAAATCCCATATTTACATTTCAGTAATTCGTAGTTTGGGATCTGATCTTAAATAATTTATCCGGTTCTTCCATTCAATTGTCAATTCATTAATTTTTTTTTAACAAGTAAAAGTGGAATTATAATGTATATGGGTCTGTCGTTCATGAATTCGTTCGTCTATCGATTCGTCGGCCATTCATTCGTTCGTTTATAATCTGTTCATTGATAATATCAATCGTTCTTTCGTTAGTTCTTCCCATCTTTTGTTTAGTAAATGATAAATTAATAATTTTTTCTCGTTCGTTAATTCATTCTAATGTTTATTATTTTGTTCGGCAATCAGTTCTTCAATGATTCGTTCGTATCATTAATTCGTTCGTTCATTATCTGTTCATTGATAATTTCAACCGTTCTTTCGTCAATTCTTTCCATCTTTTGTTTATTAAATGTTAAATTAATAATTTTTCTCGTTCGTTAGTTCATTATAATGTTTATTCTTTTGTTCGGCAATCAGTTCTTCAATGATTCGATCGAATCAATAATTCGTTCGTTCATTATCTGTTCATTGATAATTTCAATCGTTCTTTCGTTAGTTCTTTCCATCTTTTATTTATTAAATGATAAATTAATAATTTTTATGGTTCGTTACTTTATTCGTTTGTTCTTTTGTTCTCCATCGGTTCTTCAATCGTTTGATCAACTCTGTAATTCGTTCGTTCATTATCAGTTCATTGATAATTTCAATCGCTCTTTTGTCAGTTCCTTCCATCTTTTGTGTATTAAATGATCAATTAATAATTTTTATGGTTCGTTAATTCATTCGTTTGTTCTTTTTTTACTCCATCGGTTCTTCAATCATTCGATCAACTCTATAATTCGTTCGTTCATTATCAGTTCATTGATAATTTCAATCGCTCTTTTGTCAGTTCCTTCCATCTTTTGTGTATTAAATGATAAATTAATAATTTTTATGGTTCGTTAATTCATTCGTTTGTTCTTTTTTTACTCCATCGGTTCTCCAATCATTCGATCAACTCTATAATTCGTTCGTTCATTATCTGTTCATCGATAATTTCAATCGCTCTTTCGTGAGTTGCTTCCATCTTTTGTTTATTAAATGATAAATTAATAATTTTTATGGTTCGTTAATTTATTCGTTTGTTCTTTTGTTCTCCATCGGTTCTTCAATCATTCGATCAACTCTATAATTCGTTCGTTCATTATCAGTTCATTGATAATTTCAATCGCTCTTTTGCCAGTTCCTTCCATCTTTTGTTTATTTAATGATAAATTAATAATTTTTGTGGTTCGTTTGTTCTTTTTTTGCTCCATTGGTTTTTCAATCATTCGATCAACTCTATAATTCGTTCGTTCATTATCATCATTTGATAATTTCACTCGCTCTTTTGTCAGTTCCTTCCATCTTTTGTTTATTAAATGATAAATTAATAATTTTTATCGTTCGTTAATTCATTTGTTCTACCTTTTCTTTGTAAAATCTTACGGTATTTGAAAACTTTATTACACTCAACTGATAAAGTAATATTTCCCACACGTTTTTGTCGGTGGTGGGTTGTGGTGGATTTTTTCTTTCGATTTTTCCACCCTCGTCGTCGAGGGGCGGGGGTTGTCGGAACGGAGCTTAAAGTTCATAAAAGTCGGATTATTTTCAAAAAGACCTTTTAAGACTACAACATAAAAAAACACCGACATCTTACCGGCTCATTTTGATATTTGAATCTTCGTTTTTAAACGATAGTCCAAAATGGTTTTGGAGGCTTTTTTCCCACCCTGGGCTGGACTTTTTGGCTTTGTATTTTTAAAAAAAATATTTATATATATATATTTTTTTTTAATTTGTCCCCCTAACGGCGATCCCTTGCGTCCGCCACGCCCATCATCAGAGGCGGCGCACTCGTGCCGCGGGAGGCAACAAGTGTTCCAGTCGTGTCTACAACACGGTCAAGGAAAGTTCTTAGGGTTTTTTTTTGTAAAATGTAGTGCTTTTACTCGTGCCTTAAAAAATTAAAAAAAGGAATACAATAAAAAGAAAAATGTACAATAAATACGGGTAGATTAAAAAAATTTAAATTTTGTTTTTTGTTTTCACCAAAACTCGACACCGATGTCATGTTCGTTTTGCGTCAGTGCGTCTCCCTGGGTGAGTTTTGCCACTTGTCTTTTTCCCACTGCCAGCTTATTTTAATTTTCCCACCCCAATTTGACTGTTTTCCCCCCTCGGTCACCTCCTCAGCAGGAGTCGTATGTAGGTCAGAGGGTCACGCCACACCCTGTCCCACCCCCTCGCCTTTCCCTCAGGTCCATCAACCCCCGTGGGGGTCCGT